GGGGGGGGCGGCCACGATTACGGGCCGACGGGCTGGATGACGGGCGGGCGGATGGGCGGGCGAACGGGCGGCAGAGGGGTGGTCCACGATTCGAGGGGTGGGCGGGCCTGCAATTCGGCGCCTTCCGGTAGCGACATCGCACGACCCGAATTGCAGGCCGGTAACGCGCCGCGGACGGCCCGGATCGCAGGCCGATCAGATAACTTTCTGATCGGCCTGCGATCTGGGCCGTCCGCGGCACGTTACTGACCTGCGATTCAGGCCGTGAGATATGACGTTTAGCAGTTCTTATAATAGGTGTAGATGTAGACAGGAGTCACTTCAAGCTGAAGACGAATGTACGTTACAACGTCGCCAATGCAGACTGCCAGCATACACCAGGTACGTGCCTCTGCTCCTCTCCTCCTCTCCTCATCCTTGTCCCCCACAACATGTGCCTCCTCACCCGAAGACCACCATCGCCCATCGGCATCCCTGCGAGCAGGCCCGGCTATGGCCGGTCGCGCCCTCTGTCACCACAACGCCCCTCCTCTACCACCCCCGCGCGTTTACTGGCCAGCCAGTGCCTAGGAAGCCTCCTGCTCCCAATGCAGTAGCGTGGCCACCCGATCGTGCAAAGTCAGAATGTCCTTCTGGGTGGGCCCACACTTTCCTTTGTGGAAAGTGAGCCCAGCCTCTGGCTGGCCTGGGCCTAATGGGCGTGTGCCCAGTAGCTTCTCATTGGGCCAAAGTGTCTACTACTCTACGCTCAGGCCCATCCAGAGCAGTGAAGCTGCCCAACTGTGCGACGTGTCTGCTGTCGCACGCTGCATTCTCATTGCCCTACGGAGGCCCAACCACATCGCTCCCTACTTTCAGTCAGTACACACATGGACTTTTTGACATACAGATCTTAAACGGTTTTCACCTCTACAGTAACAGATGCAGATCCCAAAGCTTGATCCCTAGACCTTACCTTACCCGTGTACAGTATCAAGTCGACCCACGCGGGTTTTGAACCCGTGACCTGTGTGTTGGTAGTTGAATGTTGTCCGTCATAGGTCTGTGTAGCTGGCGGGTCTTCAACTGTAGACCTGTCAAAGTAGGGTTCATACCTGTGTAGGGGTCATAGTTGTTGTAGCTCTGAAAGGTCAAGGTCGTAGCTGCTACAGTCCTGAAAGGTCAAGGTCGTAGCTGCTACAGTCCCGAAAGGCAAAGTCCGCAGACTTCCGGAAGGTCCGGAAGTGGCCTTTCGAGAGTTTTCCACGTTAGGCCAGAGGCAAGCGAGCAAGTAGGCAGTCCAACTTTGTCTAGTCAGTGGTACCCAGTCCCAATCTTACTTTGTCCAGTCAGCAAGTACCATGTGGGACTGTGTGCGCCTTGGGCCAGTGGAAAGGGGCAGACCAACGACCTACATAAGTATAAATCAAGAAGCAGCATCCAGCCATGGATTCATTCTGCGTGAGCGATGCGGAAGCGCTACCCTAGCGCCTTGTGCGAGGTGGTCTGCAGGTGCCCGAAGTCGAAGTGGGCTGAGAAGGAGATAGAGCGTCCATAGTAGTAGTAGTGAGCGCCCATAGATAGGTTCCAGCGTGTGTGTGTACGGTACTGAGTGAATGTGCATGGGATATCCAGGGAGATCCAGAGTCGAGTGCGTGTGAGCAGTTGAGGTGAACACAGAGTTGGGGAAGTGAGAAGTGTAGGCACTCAGGCGCCATAGCCAATTTGCAGCGAGTTTGTATCTGAACTGTGTTCTCGACTTGAATATCTCTGAGCTTTGTGTGGGCGCCCAGCGCCGGTGTGGTTTGCCATCTGTCTGCATGCATGCAAAGTGAGAAGAAGACGAGTCTGATTTCATTGGTATCGGAGCTGGTTCCCGCTATTCCACGTGCCATCGCTATTGTCAATAGGAAGGAAGCGCACGCCAGTTGGGCGCCATAGCAAAAATGCGCCATCGAAGAAGAAGGGTCCGCCATAGCTGCGCCGTTGAAGGAAGGTGCCGCGTACCTGCACAGAGACAACGACGAAGAGAGAGAGAGAGAGAGAGAGAGAGAGAGAGAGAGAGAGA